TTGTCCCCCAAGAAGGACGCTAGTGATTGCACCAAGGGCCTTGCACATGCTAAGCACATGATCAACCACTGAACTATATCCAAGCCCCTAAACTAGTCACTTATAGAACTCAAATACCCATTCCAATCTCTAATCTTTACAAATTTGAATTTGAAACTTTTTGAAAAGCACGGGATAAAAATCACTTCCAAATATGAATTTATTACATTAAAAAGCATTCAAAAAGGAAAGAAAAAAATAAGAAAGATCAAGAAAAAAAAAGAAAACCAGGAAAAAATAAAAGCATTCTACATGACCCTACAGTAAAAGAAGAAAAGGAAGCAACAACAACTCAACAGTCTGGTTATCCTTCAGAACAATATAGTGAATTCACAGTAGGGATGGATAGAAATCATTAAGAAAAAAAATGGTTCTGCATTTCCTCTCCCAACAAAGACCTTAGCCTAAACCAAAACCTTGTCAGTCTGTTTTGATAGAATGAAGCAATGATACAAAGTTTAAATAGTCAACAGGATCCAAATATTCCATCAGCCATCAAAAAGCAAAACAGAAGTGACCCGAGCTTCAAAGAAAAGCTCATTTCAAGCTGTGTGTAGATAAATGAGGGAAAAGCTGCAGAGAGCGTGCTACAGAGTTGAGTTCAATTTCAACATTAGAAGCAAATCGTGGTAGACTATAGAGACGCTGTGAAACTGAAATTAAATTCTGTTTGTGCATCATCAAATTGAATCATAATTAGTTTGCATTGATAGCCACCAATCACGATGGTAGACAATAGTGAACCTAACTCATTACAAAGCAAGCCAAGATAATCGATATAGCCCTTCAAAATCAAAAGACGCAAGTACCAAAAATTGACTTTGACAAAGCTCTTCTGAAAAGAAGTGTTAACCTGTTGATGTTGTAAGTTACATAGACCGACAGGTAGTGTTCTAATACGTATGGACTACTTACACGCACCCAAGCCTAATTTTCATACCCAGCTCAACAAAAGTCCCTTCAAGATTTCAGGAACAATTGGGAGGAAAAGAAATATATCTCACCTGAATATCTGTTGGCTCACATTTGCCTAAAACTGTAGCTGAGTCTTCAGTTATCAGGAGAGGCTCACTTTTCCCACAGCTCTCCTGGCTGATGAGCGTGTCTGCGTAGTTGGGCTGTGGGAAGATCAGGTGACTCTTCCTTGAGTCAGCAGTGAGGGAAACTTCATGGGAATAGGTCTGGAGGAAAGCGCGCATCCCGTCCACACCCACAAAGTTCGAAGGAGGCACGCCAGCCAATCCGCTGGCAGCCTGGAGCAGGCGTGATGAGTGCCAGCGCCTAAGCCTGAGGGCCAGCAGTATCATGACAAAGATGAGGAAGATGCAGGAGACTGCAGTGATGGCCACCACGAGGTAGAGGGTGAGCCCTGACTCGTCCGGGCTGGCGGGAGACTCCAGACTAACCAAGTCCTCCAGAACCTCTGGAATGCTGTCAGCCACCGCCACGGTGAGTCTGACAGTGGCGGAGAGAGGAGGCTGGCCATGATCCTGCACAGTTACCACGAGGCTCTGTTTGAGAGCATCTTTGTCCGTTATGGCTCGGGCCGTGCGAACCTCCCCGGTATGCAGCCCCACGGAGAAGAGTCCTGGCTCGCTGGCTTTGAGCAGGCGGTAGGACAGCCAGGCGTTTTGCCCGGAGTCTCTGTCCACAGCCACCACCTTGGTCACTAAATAACCCGGCTCTGCGGAGCGAGGTGCCAATTCCACACCAGTGGAGCCATCAGTAGGGAGAGAGGGGTATAAAATCTCTGGAGTGTTGTCATTCTGGTCCAACACGAAAAGGGTAAGCGAAATATTGCTGCTTAATGGTGGGTCCCCATTGTCACTAGCGGTCACTCCCAGTTGTAGGGTCTGGAATTGCTCATAGTCGAAGGATTGCAGGGCATACAGCACACCGGTGTCTGAGTTGATAGAAACGTAAAAGGACAGAGGTGTTCCCTGGATGCTGTACTCAGCCAGAGAATAAGTGACCTGTGCATTCTCTCTGCTATCTCTATCAATGGCGGTCACTGAGAAAATGGAAGAGCCTCTGGGGTTGTTTTCAGGAATGTAGGCCGAGTAAGAGGAGTGAGTGAAGACTGGAGGGTTGTCATTGGCATCTGCCACGTTCAGCAGGAGGTGAGTTTCTGTAGACAAGGGTGGATGTCCCTGATCTTTGGCGATCAATGTAATATTGTAGCTTTCTATCTGCTCGCGGTCCAGTTCACTGTTTGTCATCAATTTATAATAATTTAAATACGTCTTTTCTAACTTAAAAGGAAGACCACTAGGAATGAAGCAAGAGACCTGACCATTTTCTCCAGAATCTTGATCTTGAACGTTTAGAAGAGCAATTACTGTGCCCGAAGGAGAATTTTCCGGCACTGAGTTACTGGAAGAGGTGACAGTTATCTCTGGAGCGTTATCATTCACATCTTCAACCGTGATCAACAACATGGTGGTGCTCAACAGCCCTCCTCCATCCTGGCCTTGGATTTCCATCTCATAGAATCTATATTTTTCAAAATCCAGAGGCTTTCCGACTAGAACTTCTCCAGTTTGAGAATTCAGTTGAAATATTTCAGAAGCTTTGCTTTTCATTTTCCGGAAAGAGTACATCACTTCCCCGTTGATACCCTCGTCTGGGTCTGTGGCATTTACCACGAGTACCCGCGTTCCGGAGCTGAGATTTTCAGGAATACTCACTCTATACACAGACTGTGTAAATTTTGGGATGTGGTCATTTACGTCGAGGACCATGACGCGAATAGGAACCGTGCCCTTGCGAATGGGATCTCCCCCATCTAAGGCTGTGAGGAGGAGGTGGTGAGATGCCTCTTTCTCGCGGTCCAGACTTTCCTCCAGCACTAACTCTGGATTCTTGTCCCCATCAGTCCCGCCTCTCACCTGCAAGGAGAAATAACTGCTTGGGCTGAGCTGGTAGCTCTGGAGGGAGTTCATCCCTGCATCTGGATCCCTGGCTTTAGGAAGCGGAAATCGTGATCCAGGACTAGTATGCTCGCTGACTTTGATCTCTACCTCTTCTTCTCGGAAGCTGGGGGCGTTATCATTAATGTCCATTACTTCCACCTCCACTCCGTAAATCTTCAGGGTTTCCTCCACGAGAATTTCCAAATTCAGCAAGCAGGAGGGCAGCGTATCACATAGCTCCTCGCGGTCGATCCTACTCGCAGTGATCAAGCTGCCGCCTCGCGGATTCAGAGAGAAAAGCTGAGATTTTCCTCTGGAGATGATGCGGACTCCGCGTCCCGCGACCTCCCAGGGCTCTAGCCCCAGGTCTTTGGAGATGTTGCCTACAAAGAAGCCTTTATCTGTCTCTTCTGGAACCGAGTATCGGATCTGTCCTGTCCCAGAGGTCAGCAAGGTCTCCAGGAAAATGCACAGCGGGACCAGCGCGCGGCGGTCCAGGAGCTGAGGGTGATTCGCCATGGCTGGGTGTGAGCGTTGTTCCGTGAGGGTCTTGCGCCGGTTTATTTTTATTTTATTTTTCCGAGTCAGCTTTTGTGTCTTCGAGGTTCCAGGTATCCCGCATCCAAAACATATTCCAAAGCGAACGGAGGTGTTTTTACTTACAGAATTAAGATGCGTGAGTATCCATCCCTTTCGGCTTTGTGTGGTAGAGGTTCCGGAGAAGTACTCAATAGCTTTGTCCTCCCATTCCCCAATTGGTCAACAGCGGCGCCTAGAGCCCAATCTTATTATTGCAACACTAACATAAACCTGGTGTCTGTTGCCAAGAAAACTGTCACACTCACCTTTTCGGTGGATCATAACATTTGTGAAGCCAACAACCGCAAACAATAGCTATGTGATGTGATGTAAAATTTACCAAGAGCGCTTATGAAAAGGGTAGTTTAAAAATGGACTTGTTTAATTAAAAACATTTCAAAATAACACTGGAACTTAAAATGCACAGGTTAGTTGGGATTCCAGCTGGTTTTACTAACTGTAGAGACGCGGCATCTGTGAATATGAAGCCAGCATGGTCCAGACGAAATCCCCAGGTAGGATTTATGGCTATTATTCTTACTACTTTTTATTCAAGTTTTTATTTTATTATTTTAATGATGTGTATGTGTCTTTGTGAGTATGCGTACAGGCAAGTATGGGTTCATGTGAAATCCAGAGAAGGCGGAGCTGGAGTTATTGCAGTAGGAAGATACCACTCATGGGTGCTGGGAACCGAACTTGGGTCTTCTCAAAGAGTAATGGTGCTCTTAACCACTAAACCATCCCTTCGGTTCCCACCAATGTTGCTTTTATTTTTAATGAGTTATTTTTTTAATGAGTATAATAACGACAGAATGTTTCATTCAAAATTTGAATAGTATTATGGTTATCGTTTAAAAGATAATAAAATATACCTATATTTCATATCCATAACTGGAAGGCAATTTAATGAAAAATTGGGGTGAGATTTTCATATACTTATGTGTGTTAGAGGCAGGAGGAGGAAGAGGAGGAGGGGGGAATTGGTATTTGAAGCAGGACCTAGAGCACACTACATGCTCAAACATGAAAAAAAACTTTTTAAAGAATTAAATATGATTGCATAGTAGAGTATTTCAGCACTGCAAACCTTTTGTGTATGCTGGATAGAACTGGTTTTGGTTTGCACGAAGTACATGTTTTGTTGCTACAGCACACTCCCACACCCTTCCAAAAAACAGTGATACCCACAAATTTGACCTACATTTCTCCTAGGAACTTAAAGCTCCTAAAATAGAGTCCAGCGCGGTGGCCCACACCCTTAATCCCAGTACTTGTGAAGCAGAGGCAGGTGGATCTCTATCAATTCTAGGCCCTCTTGGTCTACATGGCTAATTCCAGAACAACCAGGACTACATAGAGAGACCCTGTCTCAAACAAAACAAAACAAAACAAACCATCCATTAAAATAGCAGCTCTATATAGGGGTACATTGGAGTGCCAGAATATAAAAAGCATAATATTAAATACCTGGTTAAAGGTCTTCTCGTCTGCTTCAACACTAGGAGTTAAAATGCTAGCCAACAGTGCTGAGGAGTTATCTTTGTTGAGAATATCTTGTGCGGCTGGACAATCTCCAACGGATGTGAGAAAATTAAATTCTGGCTTAAGTTGATCTCCTGGCACACACAGATTATAGGCATAGGGCAATGTTCCCTCGCTGTAGTTGGGTGGAAGTACTGGTCTTGACTTGGAACCAAGAACCGACCCAAAGCAACCAGTGGATGAAGGACTGGACGACTGTCGCAGGCGCAAAGCAATGGCGAAAATTACTGCGAGAAGGAAAAGCACTGAGACCAGGGCCAAGGCCACCACCAGGTAAAACTGAAGCTCACTCTGAGGGTCGGAGGGGATGGGATGATCGACAAGGTCTGGCAACGCTTCTTGTAGGCTGTCTGCAAAAACTAGGAGCAGTGTAGCAGTAGCAGATAGGGGTGGCTGTCCACTGTCACGCACAACGACCAGAAGGCGCTGACGAGCTGCATCTTTGTCGCCCAAAGCACGCGCTGTGCGCACCTCGCCCGTGCGCAGCCCCAGGCTGAAGAGCCCAGGGTCGCTGGCCTGCAGCACATGGTAAGACAGCCAGGCATTGTATCCTGAGTCTGCGTCCACAGCCACCACCTTGGTGACCAGATATCCAGGCTCAGCGGCGCGTGGCACCATGTCGAAAAGCGCAGAGCCGTCGGGCTCGAGAGCGGGATAGAGCACGCGTGGAGCATTGTCATTGAGGTCGCCCACCAGCACGAGCATGCTCACGTTGGCACTGAGCGCGGGCGATCCGTGGTCGCGCGCCTGCAGTGTCAGCTGGAAGGAGCGCAGCTGCTCGTGGTCAAAGGCGCGCTGCGCATACACCACTCCACTGTCCTGGTTCACGGACACAAAGGACGACAGCACTTTTGGTTCTAGGTCGCTGGCTATGATGGAGTAGGAGACGAGGCCATTGGATCCCACATCTGGATCCCATGCTCTGACTTGGGTTATGGAGGTACCGGGCTGGTTGTTTTCTGGTACGTTTATCAGGTAGGCCTGTTGCTGGAAAACAGGTGCATTGTCGTTGACGTCAGCGACGTTCAGAGTGATTGTTGTGCTGGAGGAAAGGGGCGGCTTGCCCCTATCTGTGGCTGTGATAGTGACGTTGTACCCTGGGGTCTGTTCCCGGTCTAGGATGCTATCTGTTACTAACTTGTAGTAATTATTGGAGGAAGAATGAATCTTGAATGGATTGTTTCCGCTTAAACTGCAAGTGACTTCTGCATTTTCCCCAGAATCTCGATCTCGTACCTTGAAGAGGGCCACAACCGTTCCAGAAGGGGAATCCTCCAAAATCTGGTCGGAGAGAGAAGTGACCATTATTTCTGGACGGTTGTCGTTCTCATCTAGAACCTCTATAATTACTTTACACTGTGAAGAAAGAGATCCTCGGTCTTTTGCCTCCACACCAATCGTATATCGTTCTACTTCTTCAAAATCCAATGACTGTAGAGTTATAATATCTCCTGTTATGGGATCCAGAGAGAACTCTCGCTGGGCTTTGTCAGTCACACCCAGGAAGGAATATGTGAACTCTGCATTGATGCCCTCGTCTTGATCCGTGGCCCTCAGCCTTAGGACAGTCGTCCCTGGAGGCAAGTCTTCTCGAAGGCGGACTCTGTACACTTCTTGGCTGAACACTGGGGGGTTATCGTTGGCGTCCATCACTCGGATTCGGAGCTGGGTGGTACCAGTACGGGGGTGGTCCCCACCATCTACAGCTGTAAGCACCAGGTGGTGTGTGCTCTCTGCTTCTCGGTCCAGCATCTTTTGCAATTCTAATTCTGGGTATTTGCCACCATCAGGATTGTCTTTCACCAATAATGAGAAATACTCATTAGGACTTAGCTGGTATTTACTAAGAGAGTTCACACCGATATCAGGATCATTTGCCGACTCCAGAATTGTTCTCGCCCCTGGACTGACGGATTCACTTATCTCTAGGTTTATTTCATCTTTTGGAAATTGAGGAGCGTGATCATTAACATCCTCAATCTCCACAACGACATGAAAAATATTCAAAGGGTTTTCCAGCACGGCTTCCAACTGCAGCTCACACCTTCTCCTCCCTTTGCATATCTGCTCGCGGTCTATGCGGTCCTTCACCAGTAAGTCCCCGCTCTCCGAATCCACGCTGAAGTGCAGCTTCTCAGCGCTAACCCGCAGCTTCCTAGCCGACACTTCTAGGACACTGAGCCCCAGATCCTTGGCGAGATTCCCCACCACCGACCCGCGGTCCAGCTCCTCGGGGATGGAGTAGCGGACCGGCTGGCCCAGCGCGGGACAGAACAAAGGCAGCAGCAGGGTAAACAGTACCTGCGGGCGGCCGGGGCGCTGCCTCTGTGCGCTGCTCCATCCCATTGCTGGCTGGAGTTCTCTGTAGGTCTTCGGATCTTCACAGTAGGAGAGAGTGCAGTCTACCGGGGTGGAGGTCGGTTTGGTCCCGGACAGCGGGACCCCAGTTTGGGACCGGGAATCGGTGTCTTAGTATGTATGACTGAGTGTTCCCCTTGGTGTGTATTTGTTTCAAGCGCAGGAAAATGCTGCTTAGAGACTGAGGGATCCCGGGCATTAGAGCTTGCTCTGCACTGGCCGACAGCGGCGCCCAGAGGCTCTGAGTGGAATTGCAGTTTGGCGTTTCAAATTTTGGGGGAATCTTTTATTTTCTATGAGCGCAAGTTGATAGCCAAAATATTTGAATTTTCTTTCTCATTGATTTTGTTTCCCTCGTGAAAAATCTTATTGAAAAGTATTGTTCTATATGTAAAAAAATTATACTCATTTTGGGTAGATTGAAAGTGTATTTTCTTCAAATTAAAAAGCATGAAAGAAAGCGAAGTCCCACAGGACCAATGGCCCACTGTTACCCAAGTCCGGCATCCAGAGGATATGACTATCTCTCTTTTTGAGGATAATTATCTTTTGTCATCAACTCTAGTTCTCGTTAGTTAAAAAGTAAATGCCTTCCACTCACATTTAGACACTGGAATGCAACCCTGACAGTATCCAAACATCCAGGATGTTCAGCGCTGCTCTCAAATTTTTAATAGAACATTTGCAATGTCAAAATAGTGCTACCAAAACTTGCACTTTTCCAAATAACAGAACTGAAATATGCACGTAATAGTGATTACTCTCGTGGGACAAAGATGTAGGACAATGGCTTCAGTGAATAAATAGTATGATAACTCCAGAGCCTCTACTTACCTTCCACGGATGTATGGCTAGCCAAATGTTGACACAAAAGTGTCAGGGTCTCAGGTGTATTTTGAGATTCTGTAGAGTACTCTGTATTCTAGTAACTTCTGTAGAGTAATAATTGAATCAAATGTATCACTATTTTTTAAACTAAATGTGCTCATCAAAACCTTCACCAATCATTTGTTTAGAAGAGTTTCATGTACATCTTTGCTTAAATTCAGATTTCCTGATGATCAGGTAATCCTTTCTTTGCTCTTAGCTCTTAGTTTGTTTTAAGGCTCTGTTACGGCACTTCCAAGATTCTGCTGGCTGAGTTTTCTTCTACATCAAAGAGAAATGTCCTCATCACGTGGTTGGCTTTTGTTCCTGGGAATGTGAGCAATGCTATCCACCCCTACCCATATTCACACTTCAGCCTTAGTTGATGTCATGTATAAATTTGAAGAAAAAAATACAAAGAGAGTGAAAATTCTCAATTTAACCTTGCATAAATTCTTGGAATAATCATTGGGCAAGAAAAGTGAAATTAAAAGGCTGTGTCTTTCATATAGTAAAATGCTACATAGTTATATGCAGACGGAATAATGCTGGGCTAATGGGCATGTGTATAGTTATAAAGACTCTAAGCACAAAGTTATAAATTGTTGGTTGAATATTAATGAAAAACTTCAAATATCTAAAAAGTATATTCAGTTATTGTTGGAAAAATGTAACTGCAAAGACATATTGCTTTGTCCATAAAGAACACCAATGAACAGCCTTGGATGTAGCTTGTGTGTCTGGTGAGGCCAATGCATTTGTTTCTGACATTTACCTAATTTTAACAGACTTGCCTTCAAAACAACCCTAGTTTCCTAAAGTAGTAGGGTTGGAGCATGTGGTCAGTGAGGACACATAAATCAACAGACACTTTCACATGAAGTTCCCGTTTAGGGACCGTCCATGTTGCACTCAGCAACGCAATAAAACACAAGGTTCTGCAAAAGCTACTCATACCACCTTAGGGCAACCTAGGTAATTTTCACCACAGTTTCCAATACAGTTTTAACTACGAGATTCTACTCTTTAATGTTTTAGCAAGAGGCAAGCGTCGCTGGAACCTGGAACCGAGAGAAGTGGTTTTAAAATAGAAATCTACTATTTCCAGCATTTGGGCTCAAGCCCAAAAGTAAATCTGATCGCAATTGTTTAAAGAAAAAGTAAAATCAGAACTCACTGGCACCAAAGGAGCATCTTCTACAGGACACTTGGAATCATCTAACAAAGATAAAGGATCTTTTTTCTCACAGCTCTCTTGGCTGATGAGCGTGTCTGCGTAGTTAGGCTGCGGGAAGATCAGATGACTCTTCCGCGAATCAGCAGTGAGGGAAACCTCGTGCGAATAGGTCTGCAAGAAAGCACGCACCCCGTCCACGCCTACATAGTGAGAGGCAGGCACGCCAGCCAATCCGTCTCTCGAAGACTGCAGCACGTGAGACTTGTGCCAGCGTCGAAGTTTGAGTGCCAACAACACAATGACAAAGGCGAGAAAAACACAGGAGACCGCTGCTACTGCCACTACTAGGTAGAGTGTGAGGCTGGAAGCCTCAGAGTCCTGTGGTGGTTCCAGGTTGCCCAAGTCTGCCAGAACATCAGGAATGCTGTCAGCTACTGCAACAGTCAAAGTGACAGTTGCGGAGAGAGGAGGCTGGCCGTGGTCCTGCACAGCCACCACTAGACTCTGCTTAAGAGCATCTCTCTCCATCAGGGCCCGCGCTGTGCGCACCTCACCCGTGTGCAGCCCTACCGTGAAGAGCCCTGGTTCGCTGGCCTTGAGTAAGCGATAGGACAGCCAGGCGTTCTGCCCTGAGTCTCTGTCCACTGCCACCACCTTCGTCACCAGATAGCCCAGCTCTGCTGAGCGGGGAGCAAGCTCTACTCCAGTGGAGCCGTCAGTGGGCATGGTGGGGTACAGGATTTCTGGGGAGTTGTCATTCTGATCCAGCACGAACAGGGTCAACGACACATTACTGTGGAGGGGAGGCTTTCCGCTGTCGCTAGCAGTCACCTGCACCTGCAGTTCACGAAACTGCTCATAGTCAAAGGACCAGAGAGCATACAGGATGCCAGTGTCTGAGTTGATGGATATGTAGGAAGAAAGTGGTGCTCCCTCAACGGTGTCTTCAGCCAGAGAGTAAACGATCTGGGCATTCTCTTTGCTGTCTGGATCGAGGGCAGTCACTGAGAAGATGGAGACGCCTCTGGGATTGTTCTCTGGGATGTAGGTGAAGTAGGATGTACGAGAGAAGGTAGGTGGGTTGTCGTTGATATCTGCCACTTGCAGAGTGAAATGAGCTTTGGTTGACAAAGGTGGATTTCCCCCATCAGTGGCTGTTACTGTGATGTTGTAAGAGGGTACCTGTTCCCTATCAAGGGCTCTTTGTGTCACTAGCCTATAGTAACTGTCAATGGACTTTTCTAATTTAAAGGGTAGATCCCCAGAGATGGAACAGGTTACTTCTCCATTCTGTCCAGAGTCTAAATCATGGACGTTTAAAAGGGCTATGACAGTTCCCACCGGCGAATCTTCTGTCACTGGACTGAAGAGCGATGTGATGGTCACCTCCGGACTGTTGTCATTTACATCTTCTACTGTAACCAGCACCTTCGCAGTTGCAAGATAGGCCCCTCCATCTTCAGCTTGGATTTCTAGTTCATAGAAACTCACTTCTTCATAATCTAGATTTTCAGATATTTTTATTTCCCCGGTATTTTTGTCTAGTTGGAATTTGGACAATTGTGTGTCCAGTGATTTTCGGAATGTGTATGTCACTTCTCCATTGGCGCCTTCGTCTTTGTCGGTGGCGGTTACCATTAGCAGCTGAGTGCCCACCGGCAGGTTCTCCGGAATGTTCACGCAGTATTCAGTCGACGTGAAGACTGGAGCATTGTCATTTGCATCAAAGACGGTCACAGTGATGAGGACAGTGCCTGATCTGGGAGGGTTTCCTCCATCAGAAGCCACGAGGACCAGGTGGTGAATCGCCTCTTCTTCACGATCTAGGGCGTGCTCCAGCACTAGCTCAGGGTACTTGACACCCTTAGCACCGCCCTGAACGACTAGGGAGAAGTGCTTATTGGGGCTGAGCTGGTAGCTCTTCAGAGAGTTCATGCCCACATCCGGATCAGTAGCTTCCGGGAGAGGAAAACGCGTTCCTGGGGCGACATTTTCATTAATTTTTACATCTAGAGTTTCTGCTTGGAATTTTGGCGCATTGTCATTGACATCCGTTACCTCGATCTCTATCCCGAAAAGTTTCACCCTATCTTCCACAAGGATGTTAAAGCTCACGACACAAGGCACGCTCTGAGCACACAGCTCCTCCCGGTCTATCCTGCCCGCGGTGACCAAGCTGCCGCCTCGCGGGTTCAGAGAGAAAAGCTGCGACCTACCTCTGGAGATGATGCGGACTCGGCGCTCCGCCAGCTCGCGGGGCTCCAGCCCCAGGTCCTTGGAGATGTTGCCCACGAAAGAGCCTTTCTCTAGTTCCTCAGGAACCGAGTAGCGGATCTGCCGGCCTGCGGACTCCCAGGGCATCCATAGGAAAAGGAGGATCAGTTTGGTGCGCTCAGAGAGATTCCTTTGAGCGGCCATTGTCTTCTGACTACGGAATTTTCTCAAAGCTCTTCCCGATCTGCCAGGCGCGCAGTGTGTTTCACCTGGTTCTTTTCTTCTTTCTGTGACCCCCGGAGTCTCCGGTAGCTGGAGCACTTTAAATTCCGGTGTGATTTTCGTTGCAGTCCAGGAGCCGGTTTGCGAGAATTGTGAGGCTTTAAGCTTTTGGACCCTGAGAATCCCAACTGAGCTCTGGTGGCTTTTTGCTCCTCGTAGGTGAACAGCGGCGCTCAGAGTCGGAAGAAGTTACTGCACCCACTACAATATTTCAGCAAATGCATTTTTCTGTTGAATTATCTTAATTACTTCAATATCCTTTGATTTTTCTGTTAATTTTTTTTGAGAGGGCACGAGATTGAAAGCAGGGTTTCACATATACGCAGATGAGAGCTCCAGCAGTGAGATGCATCAGAGCCCTTCTCAAGGTTTCTTATTGGGGAGTATAATAAACTAAATTGATAATATTTGCATCTTATTTCTAACAGAAGCACATCCACTTAAAACATAGTAATGTTTATTTTGTGTTGAAAATCTTACAACTTTGTTATTCATTAACATGGAGACAGGTGTATTTCTTTTGATAAAATTCACTTTGAAAGATTATTTTAGCTTTCTTTAATTTGATTGTTGTTTTGTTTAGAATCCTATAAGAGGCTGGCGAGACAGTCTACTAATCCTTAACATTTTTGAAAGATGTACCTTTTCTTATATAGGATTGTTTTTGAAAAATTAATTAGGCTATTTAGAAATGAACTCATCAAATAATTAGGAAGTAAAAGGAGCGAATCCTACAGCTGTGTTATAAATGGAAGACAAAGATGTACAAGCATTTTAGACACAAACCTGGAACAAAACCAAAGATCCAGTGATGTGATTTTTCAGTGTAGGAAATCAAACTATGTGAGGCAAGTGTCTACACTTGAGCGAAACCCCAACCCTGGTGCAGAGTTTTGAATAAGCACATTTTTATGCAAGTGTCCTATTTCATCAGATGATCATTGATACAAATATTAACATGTCTTCTCCTAGGCCGTTTACTGGGAAGAGTGAATAAGTGGACTTTTTTGTATGCATTTGGAGTTTAGCCTGCCCATGCATACCCAGAAGGA